CTGAGAGAGTAAAGGGAAAGAAAGGAGGACAGAGAAAAAGGCAGTGGAAGGAAAAAAGAAAAGGGAGATTAGAAAAAGAAGCGCTCATGTCATGTTGATAAAAGCAGGAGGAATTGCCCGAGGCAGAGAGGGGATGAAAGCAAAGACGGCAACAGAAAAGGAAGTTGACAGCTGGTGTTAAGGTGCTGATTGACAGTCAGTTTGTTGGTTCAAACCACTTGTGGTAAGCCGATCTGAGGCAGGGGGAAAGAAATCCTCATTTAAATCTGGTGTTCAAGCTTTTTCAAGGGGTTACTTTGCTACGTGGTCGTACTGAATGTCTTTAACGCTGCTTTTATTCAAACACTTCAACAATAATGAGTAGGCTTGAACATTTAACAGACAGGTGTGGACCCAGTCAAGCAATGCACCAATGTTAAAGAGTGAAAATGCATCTCAATCTGCTACAACTTTCACCTGTTTCCGATGGTGGTTTTCACATTTGTTGAAGATGTAATGACCGCGCAATAGGGTCCGATCATTTTAATGAATCAACACCTGGTTGAGAACGTGTAAGATTATGTTATACTGTCAAATCGTAAAATAGCTGACTGTGCGGTTATCTTGTTATCATCAATAATTGTAATTTCCATTAGCAGCACCTGGTCTTTGGAGTGCAAACGATTCTGACTCGATGCTCAACGTAAATAGGGTTTTAATGTGTTAACGATTAAAATTGAATATGTAAGAGATAGGATTGTTGAGAGAACTTCAGGCAAAGATTGTTTTGTATAATTTTGGTATTCTTAATCAGAAAAATAAGCATAACAAGCATGATGCCATTGACATCAGGGCAGCAGAAAGCTTACACATCTTCCGGCACAGATTGAAAACTCATCTCTTTAGACTCCACTTCGAGCGGTAGAATTATTAACAAAGCACTTATATACTAATAAAAGGCTGGCTTATCTAAAGCCAGTTGAGTAGGACTTGAAATGTTTTAGCTCTACGAAACCTGATGTACTATATGATTCTGTTTTCTTCAAGGTTGTATCTTCCTGGTCCAATGCACTTGTTGTAAGTCGCTTTGGATAAAAGTGTCAGCTAAATGCAATGTAATGTAAGGAGTTGTGAACAGGTGACCAACATACTAGTCTTATGGGTTTTATATGTTTGCTGAAAAAGAATAAGCTCAAGGCTTGATAACACCTCTATATACTCCCTATAACCACAGGCCTTATTTAAGTTGTATTAAAGTGGACCTATCATGCTATATTTGAATAATATAGTGTAGGACCATACCTATATGAGGCATATTTATACTTTTTATTTTTCAAAATACCAAACAGATCATGCATTTTACACACACACACACACACACACACACACACACACCTACACACTCAGTATGCATATCCAGACGACAAGGAAAAAGTAAAATAAAAAGTAAAAAGTAACATAGAAACTACAAGGCAAAAAAGTAAGCATTGGGACAACGACATTTGATGACTTAAGGGGGACCTAATGATTTCCACGGACGAATAGAAAGAAAGAATGCAAAGTTCAAGGTGGATCCTGGTCCCGTCAAAATAGGAGTGCCGGTCATTCGACATGTGGACCGAGACGATTTTTTTTCCACCCATCCACTAAGAAGTTGGAAAACAAATAAGAGACCTTACGCAGAATTGTGGGGACTATAGGTAACTTATAAGATCAGGAAACTGTATTAATGTATTTTTCGAGTAGCAGACCTTTCGGCAACGCGAACTTTTTCGCTGGTGTAGACCGCCGTGGCGACCGTGTTACTGACCCTACTGGATGGCGAAGACATCCGGAAGGGAGAACCCGTTGTTGCAATGAGAGCACGGAGTTAACCAGTAACACGCGCAAGCAACACACAAAACCTCCCCCGAGACACTCCTCAGACTCCTTCCCCGCAAAAAAGGCCAAAAACAAAAAGTTTAAGACGACGTGCAGCCACGCAAGGGGAAGGAATGGATGGGGTGGAAATTCGCGGAGGCTAGTCAGAGAGCAACAAGACGAATCAGAAATACCTTAACAAGGGGCAGGATAAAGAAACAGCATACAGTAAGAACAAAAATAAGAAAACATGTAGTAAAGATAACTGAAAACGTATGAAAATAACAAATAAATTACAACTGTAACAACCTCCGCGAGCAGTCTCCTACAGAACGGTAAAAGAGAGACATCCGAAACCGTTGACTTCAGTGGAAACTTTGTCTTGGTTCAAAGGTTCCGAATAACGGAAACGTGGCAGACACAACCGTACGTTGACTATCAGTTTCAGAGGAGGTGGTACGTTGTACAGATATAATCCGTTACTTGTTGTTTGTCTATTTGCCCGTTCAACCAACAACTCTTACACGTTCTTTATGTATAACTTTACACGTTCTCCATAGAATATGTGCAGTTTACCTCACTATATAACTATTTGTTAAACGTGACTTAGGCTACCTACACAGAAATTATTCACGTACCAATATCAAGAATAACGATGTCGTCCCCACCCTTGGAAAGGAGAGTTCCCGGTGAAATTTAAAAGTGGTGGGAGGCTCACCCGGCATGGGTTTATAACTGGAGCGAATTTTTTATGATTTTAGTGTCGGGTAAAGTAAAGCGGAAAAAAGTACGACCGTTTCTTTTCGTTGAAGAGATTAGGTACTATAGGGTAACTGAGGCACGTACGTAAGTGCACGTGCCAACACCGTACTGTGGTTGTCTTTCTAACTCTCTGGTCTACCGTTTACATTAACAAAGGTATCAGGCACCTGTACTAATTCCACACACACCCCCCCCCCTGGATGGAGGAGATCCCCAGACCACTCCACGAGGGGCCCTTCTGAAAAAAAAATTTACAACTTCAATTTCGTAGTTAGACCACCGTGTACTCTCGTTTAAATCCTCGAGATACCTATGTGAGGCGTTGTAGGTCTACTTTGTCTTTGACCTTCGTCTAAATAAAAGAAATACCTATAAAATGTTTAGTGAAGGGAAAGTTTGACATAAGAACAAATAATTATTTGTTCAAAAATGCAGTATATCATAAAATGGAAAATAGAATAAGAGAATAAAAAATTATTGAATATACTAGTATATTTCTCGACGAAATGGAGTGACCAAACCCTCCCAATGAACCTACCAAATACTAGCAACTGTCTTCTTGTGCTAGCGGTGACCCGAAAGTTGATTCTGTGTCAGGTGCCGTTTTACGCCGTACACCAGTGCCAGAATACCATGACTGTAAAAAACCCTTTCACGGCCTCGCCGACAATACCACGAGAGGCGTCTTTTGTGGGGAACAGTCTGCTGCTGTAATGGGTAGTGCACTGCTGCAATCCGCAGCAAAGTTCCTAGAAGAATGAAACGTCCTTTAAGTCCGTACAAACAAATTAAAAAAACGCACAAATCTAAAGAAATAAAAAAGAAAAACGCACACAATATAAAAAGAACACAACAAAGGTTAAACCAGAGCGCACGGCTATGCGGACCCCCGGCGTCCAAGGTGTGTGACCATGTCAAATTCACAGGAGAGTCACCCTCAGACTGTCCGCACACTTTTCTGTCAAAACTCGATAAATAGCCCATGCAGAATTAACCAGTTATTACACCTTAGATAACATTTACAAAATGTACACAAACTTCACAGAGACATACTTACACCAAAGTAAGGCTAACACACAAAAAACAACAATCAAACACCCTTACTTTCAGACAAGTTTCTGTTAATAGTAAATAGTCAAAAACAGAAAACCAGAGACAATGAGGTACTAGCCATAAGTACACTAATATGAAAACCACTACCTTTTCTAATTACACTCTTGAAAAAACATTACGTTTTTTCCAGCATTAGTTAAAAAATCCAATTACATCGATCACGTTTCAGATCTACATATACTGTGAAAAACACAAACCTCAGTTTAGATTTGAATAAGACAAAAGACCATGTAAGCTAACGTCAATTCCGAAATCCCCTTAGGAAGTGTCATTGTAAACTTGTATACTTTAGCCGACTCAGGGTGAAAGTAACCTAAAAAACTGACTTAAATCAGTTGAACATTGTGGATACCAACAAGTGGCCAGTTTCTACTTGTTCCCTTAACATAGGTAGGCCTAGTCTATTGTGGTGTGTGTGTGTGTGTGTGTGTGTGTGTGTGTGTTGTGTGTGGTGTTGTGTGTGTGTGGTGTTGTGTGTGTGTGTGTGTGTGTGTTTGGTGGGTGTTGTGTGTGTGGTGTGTGTGTGTTGTGTGTGTTGTGTGTGGTGGTGTTGTGTGTGTGTGGTGCGGTTGTGTGTTTTTAAAACTTGTGGTAAAGGGCGAGAATACACGGGGAAGGAGGTGTTACCTAGTGTGGACCCGTGTCGTTATGTACAGCACAGATAAAGCAAAATATAAATGACGTCGACAAGTACATATGGTCTCGAGACTCGTTATACAGTCAAACTCGTTCCCCACAATTACTTTACACAAACGTACTAATTACAAAAAAACACAATATACATGATCGTCAAATTGTCCCTGGCCAGTTAAACTGGCGTTTGTGTTTCATTCCCCACCCCTGCTTGCTGTTACACTCCCAACTTCTTTGTTAGGAACCTTTATGAAACTCGCCATGTTTTCGCAACGTAGCTTCTTTATCCAAGGTTACCCCGATCCTTAAAACGTCGAAGCCGAACACAATAAGATGACAGACAATGAGGCCAACCGTCAATCAGAGAGGCAGACGAAACAAAAACTAACGTTATATTTCAAATTTTGTTTAGACACTCAAAAACATTTATTACCGGACCGTAATTTCAATATTGTACTATCAGCTTTACGGATGTAACAAAAACATACACGACTTCCTCGATAAGAAATCATCCTATAGTCAAACTACACAAAGACCGTTTTAGACTTGACGCCAGCAAAGGACAAATCTACAACCTAGTTAAAACGAAAAGTAAAACCCCTTACGAAAAGAGTAATTAAACGCTCAACATGTGTAAAAACAATTTACATATA